CCACCATTCATTGCGAAGGTGGAGTAGTATAAATAGGGGTAAGAGCTTCATTCCTAACCATCCTAGTCAGAGAGAATCCACTTCTTAGAGTGAGAAAGCTAGAGAGTTAGAGAGCCTCTTTGAGAGAGAAGAGAGATAGCTTGGGAAGTTCCTATCCTCAAGCTTGAGTGAGCCACCATTGAGTGAGACAATTTTGTAACATCCTTGTAAATCCTACTATTCTTTTGTATAGTGGAAGAATCTCCATATTGGAGAATTTAAATCGTGTGCTCCCATTGCTACCTAATTTCCTAAGTGCCTATCTTAACTTCACGAAGCGGGAAAGTCCGGAGTGTTTTTTCCCAACAGGGTGTTACAAATTTATAGGGTTGCTCTGATATTAAGATTGTCTCAGAGCAACCCTAGGAGAGTGTGTTGATCCAGTGGATATCAGACATGCACTAATACTTGAGATTAGTTTAAAATGATTAATAGTACTACTCATACCAACAAGGTGCATCTCTTTTTAATGAGATCATCTCCTAAGAACTCCAAATTAAGCGTGTTTGCGTGAGATCGAGTAGTTTTGGTATAGGTGACCCTCTTGATAGTTTCTCAGGACTCCATGATTGAAGATAAAGTGCGCAGTAAAGGCTTTTGTTATTGTGAGGACAGTACAACATATATGTAAAGTATCTAGGACTAACTACCTCGTGCCCTACGGGTCAAGGTGTTATAAGGCACAAGCGTGCCCACACACACAAGATATTATCCATTCTAGTGTAGTTTTCGTTTTTCGGGACTTTTGATGGGCACTCCCTACTTTCTTAGCATTTGATCTTCACATTTAGTTCTTTTGCCTAAATAGACGTGTCCGACACCTTTGGTGACTTCAGGTCCCTTTTCTTAAGAACCTTCGTTATTCATGAGAAATGTGTGTACAAAAATCTTAGCTTTCAGTTAAGGTCTTGCCTTGCACAATATTGTATCTGATGAGCAAGTATATTTTATGAAAGATATGGATATAACTGATCATATTATGCTAGCTAAGGGACTTTTTTATCCTCTAGATACGAAGGCTGGAGAAGATAATGTGATTATTAAACTGGACATAGTCAAAGCATTTGATCGAATTGAATGGCCATTTCTATTCGTTATTCTACTCAAATTTGGACTCTTAGTTCAAGAGGTTAATGTCATTATTATTAATGGGACACCTCGAGTCTTTTTCCATGGGTAAATTAAGGGGACCCTTTGTCACCCTTTCCCTAAATTATAATGTCATAAGACTTTTTCAGAAGTTTGAATTTTGATGTAGGATGGACATATTCAAGCTTAATATGTTGCTAGAGATGTTCTCACTATTTCTCACTTGACATTTGCCGATGACCTTTTGGTCTTCCTCAATGGCTCATCTAGCTCACTTGTGAAATTCATAAATTTCCTTCAATTATACCAACATGCTACTGGATATAAGGTGAACTTGTAGTAGAGTACTTTTGTAACTAACTCTAAATTCTCTGTGATTAGGAAGAAGACGATGGAAAAGATTTTGCAAATGAAAAGTACCAGCCTTCCCTATATATACATAAGGGTCAATATCCAGAATCACTATGGCTAAACTTTGTGTGGAAGTGGTTTCATGATTTGAGCAAAATCTCCAATTTCGGAAGACTACACTCTTTCTCAGAGTGGCAGATTTGTCCTAAGTAATCATGTTTAGAATACCCATCCATTGCATCATTTAGCCGCTGATACTCCACCAAATAAAAAAGATTATTTCTAGTTTGGAGCAAAATTTGGCAACTTTCTTTTGAGGAGTTTTAACCAAATTAAACATCAGGCTCATCCCTAGACAGCTTGGAAGCACTTAGATGTTATCCTAAATTGAAAAGCGGTTTGGGTGTCAGATCCATTCCTTGTTTACATCTTGCTTACTCCTATAAAGTATAAACTATGGTGGAAGTGGAAGGGAAAACCCTCCTTGTGAGCTTCCTTACTTACATGTACAGGAGAGATCAAAGAATGGGAAACATGCGTCCTAAACGAATTGTTTCCCCAATTTGGAAGATGACTTGTCAAGTTCACTCACAATGTATCCCTCTTGTCAAAACTGAGATAGATGAAATTCTTTCGTAGTCTTTAGAATGTGATTTGACGTTCTTCCTTACCATATATGCTTATGAGGCTGGGAGAAAATGTGAAGGATCAACCTTTTCTTTAACCAAAATTTGGCACAAAAAGCAAATGCCTAACATCCAGGTTTTCCTTTGGAAGCTAAACCGCAATATGTTACCTTTCCCCTCATTGCTATGCAGATTTAAGGTTATGCTACCGTCTCGTTGTCCATTTTTCTTAACCGAGTCTGCTGATCCAGATCATTGCTTGTTCCCTTGTCCATTTGCTTTGGAAATATGGCACTTTTTCATGGGTATTTTCATTATTCCCAGACCTATACCTATCAATATTGCACTATCAAACAATTGCTCATCTCTGGGTGGCTTGAAGCAACAATAAATTATGCTATGGAAAATCTTAATTTGATCATTTTATCTGGGGTGATGACCTGGTGTTTATGGAAAACCTATGCTTTGATTATTTATTTATTTATTTGGGGTGGGTCTAGTCTTCCACATCAAGAAGCACATGTGGCTATGGTCCTTAAGCTTGTAAAACACTAAATATGCTAGTCAACCCCAAGTTATTCCAAGAAGGCTTTATCCCCAATTACCCAAATGGACTTCAAAACCGAAGTTGGAGTTCTGGCTTAAGCCAATTTCGAGCTTTAAACTCAATGTTCACATTTCAGATTCATCAGGTGGAGCAATCATGTGTAATTGTAGAAGTCAATTCATTTTCGCTATCTCCTTTCCTTCTAAAGCAACTACTCTTCATTCGGAAATAATTGGCATCTCTTTTGGGTTAAACTGGGCAATTTCAGAAGGATTCCCATATTTTATCCTCAAAATTGATTCGCACTCAGTTTACTCTTTGCTTAGCAAATGAAGGACCTCTCTAGTAGGGGTGGACCCGGGCCGGTTCCGGTTCGGGCCTGGGCCCGGACGGGCTTTTATCTGGGAAAGGTGGAACCAGAACCGGCCCGTGTAGCCGGCGGTTCCGGGCCGGGCCGGGCCCAAACCGGGCCGGTTCCGGTTCGGGCTTATTTTTTTTTATTTTGTTTTGCTTTAGTAATCAACCCCGACCCCCCCTTCACCCGACCCCCCCAACCCCCCCCCCCCCCCCCAAACACCCAACCCAACCTGGTAGAATAAAAAAAATGAAAAAAAAAAAATTAGGCCCGAACCGGCCGGGCCGGTTCGCGTTTTAGGGGGCCCGAGCCCGCACCGGGAATTGACCGGTTCCGGGTGGCCCAAACCGGCTCCAAGACCGGGTACCGGCCCGAGTCCACCCCTGCTCTCTAGCCCTATGCGTGATCTCCAGAGCCATCCAAGACACTGTGAAGCGATATAATATCACTGTGGCGGTTTGCAGATTACATACTAACAAGGAGGCTAATTTGCTGGCCAACTTGTGTTCATCTACGTCCATGGTCTGCTACTCTGCTTCCATAAGCTTAACATTTTACATCAGCATATTCATGGTGCTATACTTTCAGAAGCCAAGAATGTACCTTATATTTGTGTTGATACGGGATAAGGTTTTATGAACCAATAATATACTACGTAGTAAGTGTTACAAACAATATCTTAAGGTTGATAATTTTTGGGCTAAAAAAATCGCTTCAGCATTAAAAGTAACTATAGCGCTAGATTTTCATTATTAGTTTATTATTACTATTACTCGAGTATAAACAGATTGCAAAAGCACAACCATCATATAAGTTTGTACAACGCAGTAATTTATCAGGTATGGGCGATAAACAAAACGGTGGTAGAAAGGTAAGTGGGAGGGGGGGGGGGGGGGGAATTGCCCCTCATGAATTTCATCTTGCTCACCCTTAGGGTATGTTTGGTTCAAAGAATGTCAGATTACCATGTGAATGTTAGATTGCTGAGTATGTTAGATTGATGGGAATATATTCAATTTGTACCCATTTGTGTTTGGTTGAGACTAAAGGAATGTGACATTAATTTGTTTGGTTAAATCATATATTATACAACAAACTTGGTGAATTACTTTAATGCCCTTAAAATATTTTTTCGTAATACCTTTATTACAATCGTCGGGGTCTCGAGAAAGAATGTCTTCATCGATAGGAGCCTACGTTTTTCATCGATCCAAAAATCAATGGACCACACGTCACCAATAGAATGACCTGATTATTAAAGGACTTAGGGGGCAATTAATTAATTAGATTAGGGGTAGAAAATTAATGGTTGATCCTACTTAGGAAATATTAGATATTGACTCCTATTTAAGGAAACGTTGCATGTTATATTTTACTCCTACTAAAGGTAATTCACTATCAACCACTAGTGAAAAAAAAATTAATGTTTGATCCTTCTAAATCATTCTTACTTTATTCTTAATTTATTAATACTCTCGTCTCTTTTTTATTGGGACGGAAGAGGGTGGCACGAGTTTTAAAGTGTGTTTGTGTGGTTGATATTAATTGATAATGTAAGAATAAAGTAAGAATAAAGTAAGAATGATTTAATTTTGAGCCACACAAACTTTACCAAATAAGGTATGAGACAATTAAATAGGGACTTCCTAATATGATAAAACGGGACATTTAAAAGGGGACGGAGGGAGTAATTCACTATCAACCACATTAACTTCTTTTTCTTAATAATAACACCACCTCCTCATGTATTAAGTTATCATGATCATTTAAGTTTAAAAGTTCAATATAAGTTATTATGATTAAATTACTACTGTAGTCACTTCTCACATTTTTGTAAACAATATTTATTTTAGTCATAAATATGTAATTATTTCATTAATTTTTAATAAATCAAATTCAAAAGTATACATTTTGTATTTCTTAATCCAATATGGATGGGTTTGTTTAAAAAAAATCCAATGCAGATGGGTTAAGAAAAATGAAAAATAAATACTCTGTATGCTATTTAAACCATTTTGGTTAAATGAGAATGGGTATGTTTGGAATCAAATTCACCTCCACTAAGGAATGTAAGAAAACCTAAGAGTTGAGTGGGTTTGAGATGAAGGGACACCCTATTACTTTCTCTTCTTTTTTCGGAATGTGACATTTCCCCATAAAAATAAACCTACGAATCAAACACGAATATTTCAAATTCCGAGCATGAGATTCCGGCCTGCATAGGTGATTACTTGAATCAAACATACCCTTACAGATTTAATGGCTTCTTCGAGGTGGTGGTGTATCTCATAACCATGCCGGCGACATATTTAGCTGCCCATAAGGAGCCAGCCTCTGTGCATGAGAAAGCGTGAGAATGGCCCTCCTCTTCCACTGTTACCACTGCTCCTGGAACCTTCTCACAAATCTGTATGAAATAAATAAATAGATGTTCAGAAATTCAGCCCATCTCGACTGGAGAGAGAGCAGCATTATTCCACCTACTGTTAATGTTGATTTTCAGAATGAATCAATGGATGAACTTACCTCTTCAAGTACATGCACAGGGCCCCAGTGATCATCATCCCCAAATAAAAAGGCTATTTGGCTTCTGTTGTCCCTCAAGAAGGCCCAATCGAGTGCCTCAGAAAGCTAATCTCATTGTTATAAACACCCAACAAATCGGTGAATAGAAATGAAAGGGTGGGAGTTACTTTGATGGGTGGGATCGCCGTCTTACCTTATCGAACTCTGTCATTGCCATGAAAAGTACGTTCTGCATCGTGTGGAACTGGAAAAATAATCACATTTCCAAACTGTGATTATTAATCGAATATTTAAACAGTAACCATTTTAAGAAGTGCAAGCGCTTCTGAAACACTCAAATATAGGAAATAAAATATAGACACCTACTCAATAGAGAGAAGCTGACCTGGAGAAGATGTGTGCAAAGGGCATCAACTGCAGTAGGAGACCATAACTTCCCAACATATTTCTTCACAAAATATGTAGAGATCCAGGCTGGTAGCATTCCCAAACATGCCACAATAGAACTAAGCATTGCAGATATACTCCTCGATCTGCACGTACATTGTAACGTAAATGCTTCACTTAGACAGAACACCAAATATACTAAATCCACTAGTACTGCAGGGCCCGTTTAGTGACCCCTATTTCCAGCTGATCAGCCTTATCAATATTGTAACTTTTGATTTCGCGTTCTAAATTGTGTAATAATAAAAATAAGTAAGGTTAGAGGTACTTTTCCTGGCTAAATTGGCTGGAGTTATTGTAGAGGACCATTTTAGCTATTTTTCATATATTTTTTTCTTTAATTTATTAATAGAATATATTTAAAGTATACTTATTCCATAATTCAGCTGATTCTACCAATTCAGCCAGGATTTCATGAACTTCAGCACATTCAGCTAATTTAGTGTGACCAAAGAGGCCCTCAGTGTTATAAACAACATGAGGGTATATTTTATGAGGTAGACAGGTTTAGCGATGAAGACTATCGAATTCTTCGTGTACATCTTGAGATTTAATAAAAATTAGAGAAATAATATTATAGGTGATCACATAAGTTACATAACATTATAATGACCCTTTATTCGTTTTTTAAAACATTATCACCATATTGACTATGCCCTTCAAAACTCTTCATCCAAAGACCCTAAGAAGAAACACTCTGTGTGTATGAATGAGGAAGAGAAAGAGAAGTGGGAGGAAGGAGATTTACGCTGCAATCTTCTTAATAAAAGATTGTGTCCAAGATTTGGTGTTCACAGTCAGAAATGGATATAGTCCAATGCAGAACCCCACCTAAATTATAAAAGATGGAGTATATATTAAATTGTGAAAACCACAATGATAAGATTTTACACAACACTTTTATGTTCTTCATTTCTTACCTCTTTCTGTAATCTTTTAAAGATTTCCAGAGATATGTAGGAGCCAATTGAGTGGCCAACCTTTGAAGAAAATGAAACTTCAGTTGATCTCAAATACACAGGTGCGCGCGCACACACACACACATCATTATATATATAAGTACTCGCATTAGGGTCAGCATGAGAGAGCCTTAGGCGCTCAGGGAACACCACATCATCGGATAAGTTAGATTATAAGGCCAAAATAAGTCAGAAATCCTACCAGGATTATAGGAACTTCAACATTATTAAATTCCTGCTCAATAAAGTTCATCTGGATAGAAAATGAATATCATAATGAGTATATGTTAAAATTGAAATGCAGACTACCTAAAAATGCAAGCAAAAGGTGAGCAAGAAGCGTTCATGTCAAAACACATTCACACTAGCAATAAACATGAACTATCTGGGGCAGCTTAAAAACAATTACCAAGCAATGCAAGAACTAAATCGTTGTTTGAAACCGTTTCATATTAGCCTAAGTAGCATGGGAACGCGAAATAGGAAAGGTGAAACGGAAATCAATAACACGAGAAATGTGATTTCTAAACAATATATGATATGACAAGTGGGGGAAATGCGTAAATTTTAAAAAATATGAGGATATATTTGTAAAGTAATCATATACATAAATCTTTTTCATATACATAGTATATACATATGCACACATTTTTTCATATTACTTTGTTTGATAACAAATTATAGATACATTGTAGTACTGAATTGCTTTATGAAGCATCACAATGTTGTTAGAAAGAAATATCCACAAAGTTCACTAAAAAGCTGTAAACGAACTTTTCTATCAAAGAATCCTATCAAAAAGAGAGAAAATTGGAAACACAATGTTTCCGGAACGCTAATTATTTAGAAAAACGAGTTTCCCAACTATTAATCATGGAAACAGGCGTGAAATAGCAATTTGAAGTTTTCGAATTCCCGAAACAGTGAAATGTATGCCGCGGGAAGTATTTGTGCTTCATAGTAATAACTAACACTGTGTTTGGGTAGAAGAAAAATGAGGTAAAATATGGTAAAATGTGTCTAGAATCCCCTCGTGTTTGCCTGAATACACCTTTAACTTTTATCAAAATTTTGAACAGCCTGTTGTTCCGGTGTGGATATCTCTTCATAGCATTTTGTTTATTTTGATAAAGCGAATTGTTCGTGGTCAGTCTTTTATTTGGAAATCCAGCAAAGCTTGATCATCGCACTGCTAAAAAGACTAGACATCATTTAGAAAGGATACATATTTTTACTAAGCCTAAGCTTGACAAAAGTCAAATTGGTAGTGAGCATTTTGGAATCTGGCAAAAACTAGTATACGAACAGGCTCCTCAAAATCCTGTGATTTTTCTTGAAATGTTCAGTGTTGGGCCAAAGATGATTGGATGTATTGGATAAGAACATTTATAACAATTAGCAAAAGCTAAAAGAAAGATAATTGAGCTTAGAACACCACACAATCACTGATATGCTCTATGCTCAAGAAAACTCAGTATAACACTGAGCTAGAAAATACAAGGCTTTCAACTGTCATTGTATTTGTAAAACTACAAACACGTTTAATGAGCAGTCTATATATGAGGTGTTCTAATCTAACTAGTCAAAGAAAGAAAGAAAGAAAGAAAGAGAGAGAGGGGGGGGCTTTCAACTGTCATTATACTTCTAAAACTACAAAAAGTTTAAAGTGTTCTAATCTAACTGGTCAAAGAAAGAAAAGAGAGAGGGAGGGGAGAGGGAGGGAAGGAAGGGGCATGTGGTAACAACTTTTTAGCTATTATGGTGGATGATAACTTCCACTTTGCAAAAAAACACTCATTCTGTTGCACTTCCTCCTAAAGTTGGGCCAGCTCACCAACAACATGCTAAATACTAAATTACTAATTCAAATGTCCAAAAACTCCAAACTAAGAGCCCGTTTGATAAACCTGTATTTGAGGCTTATCAGCCTTAGCAGCCAACTTTTTCACCAAACACGAAATTTTTGATTTCACGCACTCAACAGTGTAATAATCAAAATAAGTAAGATTGGAGTTACTTTTCTAGTTGCATTGGGTGAAGTTACTTTAGAGGATCATTTTAGCTATTTTCATATAATTTTTTCTTTATTTTATTATTACAAAGTATTTTAAATATAATATTTTCATAAATCAGCAAAATCCCCCACTTTAGCCATAACTTCATAAATTTAAGCAAAATCAACCGATTCAGCCGATTTCAGTGTAACCAAACGGGCTCTACATAAATTAATGATCAATAGTTATTTAATGATTGGTGTAAACGTCAAACAAGGATCTGCTACTGATTTCTCCTGTCATTAATTCCTCCTGTGCAGGATGCATTGATTGTACTGATTTCTCTTCTTTTTGCTGGTAGGAAGAGGGTGTCAAAGAGAGAGATCCTGGATTCAACTCCAAACAATGAATTGAGATGGAACTCACCCTCTTTCCATCAAAGTGTGATCTAAGTTCAATTTACGTCCTCCCAAAAAACTATCCGATCGGTTCTGGGGGACCCTCAGGGACGGGTGGCATTCCTTTTTGGGACATGAGGAGATGATACAGTTATTAAGAAAACTTGGATTATGTGAGTGATATTGAATTGATAAAGTAAGAATAAAGTAACAAATATTTAGAACCACATAAACCTTACCAAATTTGGTATGAGACAATTATAGTAGGACGAACTGAAAAGGAAAGATAGGACAATCTTAGTGGGGCGGAGGGAGTATATGTTATGAATGAAAAACTCGTTATTGTATAAAATATTAGCTTTATTTCACTCCAAAATTAATAATTCAAATAATAGTAAAAGTAATTTGTTACGGATGCATTTTAGGGTTTTAATTAATTAGGAGTCCAGTTTGATGTTATCTTTATATTTTATTTATTACTTATTTATTTATATTTATTTATTGTTTCCTATTAGTAATAGAAGTATTAGAAGTTACAATTTTAGTTAGAGTAGAGCTCTATCATGTAAAGCCAGCCTGCCTATTTATACTCTTTATTCAGCATTAATAAACCATCGATCATTAGAAGAATTATTCCCAGAGAGAAATCACGGACTTCCCCCCTTCCCCTGCATTCTTACTGCGCTCTTCCAGCCATGGGCAAGAAGAGGCGTAACCCTAGCAGACAGGTTACCACCTCAACCGGGTACCCTGCTAACCCAAGTCATCTCTGGACCCATTCTCAATCCCAGAACCCTAACATAATTATTTATGGTTTTATTTCAACCCAAACACAATAGGTGATGATAAGAAAGGAAAATAAAATTTATTTCCACATCTTATTTTTCCAGCCATTTCCATCATTTGCAATGGAGCCAAAGATTCATTATTTTTTGGCTTGAGAATATGATGAAATAAAGCAAAATGACTCCCCAAACTGTATGCTCTTCTTTGTTATGAAGCAGCAGCCAGTCCATGCAATTTTGGACGTGATTTTCATTATGGGTCATCAGGAAACAGTCACTCTGAGCTTTAGTACAGGGGTAAGACTGCGTACATCCGACCTCCCCTTACCCCACCGTAGGTAGGAGCCTTTGCGGCACTGGGGTAAATGAAGATTGATTGATTGATTGTCTTATTTTCTAGCCGACCCCAAAATCTTTTGGGAATAAAGCTTGGTTGTTGTTTTTGTTGTTGTTGTCTTATTTTCCACTCCTCTAGAATATTCTTAAACATAGAGTGAGCAGCATCAATAGAGCCGCTCTATGCCCTAAAGCCCTTCATAATTCGGAAACTCTACCCACTTATCAAGTCAAGGAAAATCAATGCTGCAAGAAAACAAATAAAGGTTCTAAGAAGATAACAAATACTCCGTATTAGTTTGAGATCCATGATGCCCAATTCACCTTAGGTTTAAAGTTATCCAGTTTTAGTTGACCTCACAACTCAAGTTGACAAATAACAAGATTAGAATAGCAATAATTACAACAATAATGATGATAAATGATAAAATTAGTAATTACCTTATGATCAATTTGAGCTTGCAAGGAAAACAGCCTCCCAAACTCCCAATTCTAAAATGTTAAAATATTGAGTGGCTAGTTTAGCCATAATATTTCAGATAAGAGGTGCTTCAGCAATCCAATGAAAGAATATTTTGCATCAAATACAGGAAGCACACAGAGTTAACACATGGGTGTTGTTTAGGAAGACATAGTGAAATACAATAAAAAATTTATGTTCTACATGTAAGTTCAATTTAAAAACACACAAAACATTATTGGATTGCATTACATGACATGTTATTACTGTCTACCAAACTACACCTCTAATGTGAACTTCAGTAGCTGGTGAAATGTTCATTTCCAAAACATCTGAATGCTAAGTTTAATATGAAAAAAGATTCAAAAAGCTTGATACTTTTACAACAAACTAAGTTGTTCAGTTTTTACATTTTACTTACCTAAGTTATCTTAAGAGCATTGCCAGAAAATTTAAGATACATTTCATACATCGAGGGTATTTTTTGAATACGGAAAAATGGAAAATGCTAGTGAAAAAAAAAACGTAGCTAAGAATTTTATTTGCTTATGTTTTTCTTGACCTTGGAAAATATAAAGGAGAATTAAAGATGACTATTTGACTAATTCTCCCACAAAACATTTCATACATTTATACTCCACATTTCTTAATAATTAAAAAATACAGTACAAATTAATAAAATGAATACAACATCCAAGCCTTAATCCCAAAAGAGTGGGGGTCGGCTAACATTGAGCGACAAATGAATCGGAGCAAAAAAAGGATAAAAGGATGGCAAATTAATAAAATGAATACCTAAAACAAATTTACTGAGTTTGTGTATATCCTTTTTCATCAAACTTTATGATCTTCCCACTTTACTCTCTATTTTCTTTCCCTGGTATATTCAAGGTTCCAAACGGATCCCAAAAGTCTAACAAGTGCATTAAACAAGTTCATATTGGCTGAAGAAATTTACCTTTTTGCTGTGAGATATGTGAGAGATAGCTGGAAAATGGAGAACTTAAGAATCACTGCAGAGCCATAAAGGATAATCTACTATGTTCCAAGATAGCAGTTAAATCGAAAAGCCGAGTGTGCATAGTCAATTAGTCACTGTTCCTTACCTGTAACAGATGCAGTTCCTCCCAGTAGCTCAAATAGTGATTCAAGAAAATCAACATAAAATGAAACAACTCCTGTTACCACCACCATTAACATAAATCTCCATCGTAAAGAAAAAAACTTAAAATTCTCGTTCAGTCTTAATTACTACCTGGATTTCCCGGAATGAACAAAATATGCAATTCAGGCCTTTGGGCATGGATTTCAAGTAAATCAGTCTTGTAGCTGCCACACAAAAAGGTCAAGGAATTTACTCTACTGCGGAATGAATGGCTCCCCTATTAGGAAATTAATGTTGTTTTATGCAATTCATTTATGTACTTATTTAGTTTTCTTGTTTATGTACCAGATTAGATTTCTTTATCAGTTGTACTGATTCCTACAAATTCGGTTTGCTTTTGCCAATCTCTTATAATCTTCACATCTATAAATACAAACATGGACAAAATATTCACAACTCTAGGCTTTCATAAATCTCTTCATATTTAATGGTATCAGAGAAATTTCAAGGACAATAGGAATTGCAATACATTTTGCCAAAAAGAAATAAGAATTGCAATACATAGACACAACAACCGCACATATGGTTTTAAAAGTCACATAGACAACAGAGAATTACCCAGCAACATTGCAGAGGCGGAATTTGGCTTGCTGTTTTTTGTTTATCAGACTCGAATCCTCAGGAACCATTCGTGAAATTCTGCAGCTTTAAGAAACTAATCTTCTTCTGCAAGTTTGTTTAGGAGAAATGGAAGGAAGTGTGACACTGTGGTGCAAAACCTGGAGTTGGGGTGAACAGATTGAGGTAAATAAAAATGGTGATGTACACAAAATGTGTAAAGTGTACACAAATGTGTACACCTAGCATAGCTCTTGAGGTAAATGGGAGACAATGCTAAAGCAGTGTTTGCAGTTGTTTAAAAAAGTGCTTTTCAGCTTTTGGCTTAAAAAAAGCTAAAAAGAGTGTTTTCAAATGACAACTTCTGCTTAAATTAATCACTTAAAAGCTAAAAGCTGGAAGCTGGTGGAAGGGTGCTTTAAACTGCTTTTCACTTTTTCTATTACACAAAAAGTACTTATTTTACCAAACACTACCAACTTTTACTTTTTCAGAATCACTTTTTTCTCAAACACTACCAACTTTTACTATTAATCACTTTCCCAAAATCACTTTAAAAAATCACTTTTTTAAAGTTGAAGCAATTGCAAACACTTCCTAAATATCCTCTTATGTGGAACGGAGTTCGAGATGCGGGGTTGGATTTGGTCCGATTTATAGTTTTTTCTCGGGCTAATTGAATAAATAAATCCTGAAATATTGTTGGATTAAAAATAATTCTCAAAATACTGTTGGAGTTAAATGTGGTTAAGAAAAGCCGTCACTTTACAAAATACTGCTGGAGTTAAACGTGGTTAAGAAAAGACGCCGCTTGAAGTGGCGGCTCTTCTCTTACAGTATACAAGCCGCCACTTCAAGTGGCAGCTCTTCTATTACAGTACAAAAGCTGCCTCTTGGACTGACGGCTCTTCTCTTACAGTACCACGCTAGCTTATTCAACCGAAAAAAAACACAAAAACCTACTCAGTATTGTACAATCAACTCAGAAACATCAAAAGGCTGCTATTTATATGAGACACAAAACGAATCAATGAACTATATTGGATTACATAACCAAGCATTCCAGCTCAGCTGGTTGTGAGGTTATCGTGCCTAGTGAGGTCTCAAGTTCGAAACCCGCTAGACACATAAGGGTTTGAAACTTAATGGAGTGAGTTTCAGCCCTGATTACTCCAGACCCCCCAGCCCCATGGAGTAGAGCTGAGCAAAATCCGATCCGACCCGAAAAACCCGATTTTTTTTCCGGATATTATCTGAACCGAAGTGGATATCCGACCCGAAAAACCCGAAACCGAAAATCCGATTAGTATTGGGCCTAGACCGGGTGGCGGGTAGGGTTTGTGAAATCCCAACCCGACCCGCCCAAATATCTGAAATATATGTTAGTGTGTACTTTAAATATTTAAATTAATACTTGTGTTCAATTATTTGTGCAATTTGTATTAAATTATTATTTGTGTAAATTGAATGTGTAGTGAACTAGTGTGTACAATTTTTGTTAAAGTGACATTCCAACACTTTAACTATCCAATTATAATGTGTTTTGATTTAACCAAAATATCCTAAATATATTAAATTTTGTAGTGTGTACTTTGAATATGTTAAATTAATACTTGTGTTCAATTATTTGTGTAATTATTTGTGCAATTTGTGTTAAATTATTTGTGTAATTTGGAAGTTTAGTGCACTAGTGTGTACAATTTTTGTCAAAGTGTCATTTAAACACTTTAATTATCCAATTATTATTTTTTTTAATATAACCGAAATATCCAAAACCCGACCCGATATCCGATAATATCCGACTTAAAAATATCCGAAATACGCGATTTGAAATATCAAAGGGTCGGGCCTAGTATTTAAATTTAAAAACCCGAACGGGTTTAAGGTTCGTAAACCCGACCCGACCCGCCCGAACCCGACCCGTGCACACCCCTACCCTGGAGTAAAAACAAATAGAAGAACAACTATATTGGATTACAATACTAGAAGCATCACATAAAGATGATTAGCTATTTATCTTGATCGACACACAAAACGAGTCAATCAAAATTAGACACATACTCGAATTCATTTTATATTCTTGTACATTACTGTATGGTAGATGGCTTTTTGCTTACGTCACTCGCACGACATCCGCTGTTGGATTAGGGTACTATCGAGATGCATTAGATGACATGTGTGATGATCAGGTATACCCCTTGTTTTAAAAATCGGCATAGTTGGCCAAAAAATTGGCCTAGTCGGCCGCCTAGGCGCCCCTCAACCGCCCGACTAACGCCTAGCGAGTTTTAGAACAATGGGTTTACCCTGTATATCATTAAGTATAACTACTTTGTTTTACGTTTTTATATACAATGATGTCATAATATTTTGTATTATAGATGATGCAGATGCCATACACTCACGAGATTTTAGGACAGTTGCATGTTGTTGGCCGAGAGCACACTGAGACATGGAAAACACGTGTGCCTTTGATTTGTTTTGATGTAGTGTAGCATCACATTCCCGATCATGTACTATGACAATTCGGGTTACAGCAAGGTATTCCCTTACCTTGTGATACTTCTGTAGACTTACACAAGATCACCAGACAAGGGAAACACACTGAGATTGGGGGATGCACCATATTCAGTATATCACCATGTGGGATGAGAGAGCGGCGTATATAGTGGACGGGATCCCATCAGTAGCCCCCACAATCTCTGCAGATACATGAGATGATATCACACCATCACACGGGTGTTCATCTTTCCTAGTTTTCGTCTACCCACCGATCATCACCAGCCTAGCTCAGTCGCTCTTCATTTGATGGTATACAATATATTCACATGAATGACTTTATTTATTTATATATTCATGTGTTTATCACTAATAAACATGCTTTCGTTACAAACACGGACTTTGCATACTATCCATGACAGAGTGACTATTGTACTTGATGAGGAGGTAGATGTACAGGGATATCACGAGGTATGCTCGGGCATTGATGCACTGTATACTGATGTATTGGGCCAAGTAGACCATGGATATGTGGCCGCCTCTCAGCATTCCACGACATCTACATCCACAGCAAGGTCTTTCCAAGCAGTACGACGTGATAGAGTGATTCTTCAGCCTCGTAATTAATCAGAGCAGACGCCCCTGAACTCAGACACAAGCACAACCACATGAGCGTTATGATGATGATCACGTTGACTTGTGATATTTGTACTTTACATTCCTGTGTTAAACATGAATTAGCTGATCGAATTATCAACTATATGTGATATTTCTAGTATTGTAACCAATGTAGTTCATTGACTCGTTTTGTTTTTTAGTGCTCTATATTGACTATAAATGGCAGCTTTTTGATGTTTCCGAGTTGATTGTACAATACCGAGCAAGTTTTTGTGTTTTTTCCAGTTGAATAAGCTGGTGTGGTACTGTAAGAGAAGAGCCGCCAATCTAAGTGGTGGCTTTTGTACTGTAAGAAAAGAGCCGTCACTTCAAGTGGTGGCTTTTCTTATTAACCACCGTCACTTGGGGATTTATTTATTTAATTAGCATTATTCCGGGGAAAAACTCCCAATCTGTTACAGTATTGCACCGAGATAAACTTCTTTGCTTGTTCACAATATTTTCCACTAGTTTTTGAATATTACGTAGTACTTCTTGGTTTTTGCCATTTTTCTTAAATATTACTCCACAATAAAATTTATGGATAAACATGTTATTGAAATTATCATAAAAGTGCATTCATGATCACTAATATGTAAGATTGATGATAGGGGCCCTAGATAATATTAGTGATAAGGATAATATTGTCTTTTAATAGTGTATAATAAAATGGGCTTAGGCTCTGTAACTAAATAGCAGCGGGCTGACCAATAAGGAATATATCTAATCTAAAAACGTTATAATTGTGAATAAGGATTGATATCCTTAATTTATGTCAATATGTTGTATGCAAAATGAATTGTACATTGTCCTTTAAAGTGGGACTTCACTTCTCACGAGCTCCTATACTATACACCCGGGTGTAGGTACATCCGGACCAAATTAAAGAGAGAGTCCAATTAAATTATCAAGCCCATAAGAAAAGGCCCAATATTGTCTAACCGCTTAAGAATTGAATGACAGACCTCGTTTTCTTCCTCAAGAACATCAAACTTAATCGAATTTGGCTTTGAGGAGTTAATCGAATTTGGCTTTGAGGAGTCTGAAATCGTGCTCAACTTGCTTGGATTTCCACCTCGCCCTTTTGTTCTAAAACCATATCGCCACTTGACGTGGTTGCAGCCCCAAATCTCTGGCAACTTGCAGCTTCTTCATCTCCCGCTTTGTTTCCAACCTGAAAATGGTTTCCAGCGATTTCACTTGCTCATTGCTGAACCTCTTACAACTACTCTTCTCGCCCTTCTTCATCGACGCCGCCGTCTTCCGCCAGACCTCCGTCCTCAGATTCATGGGTTTCTGCCGCTTCACACTCTTCTTAATCCTCCATCTAGATCTTCGCTGGTTCCGGCCGGCTGACTGTACTGTACAGATCATTTAACTAAAACAGTCTAATTTTTTTTGGCATCATTTTGTAATTTAAGCAAAAAATCGCGGCTTCCGCTAAATGAGCATCAGTGTACATTTAGTGAGTATCTCACATATTCTATTGAGTATTAAAAGCCAAACAACGAGTACTGCAATCTCTGCTTCATACATCTAAGTCACTTTCTTTTTCTTATTTTTTCTTTTATAAAAACTTATTAAATTATATCTATAAATAACTCCTATGAGTTTCAATATGTGAATTTAATGTAATATGTCACTTTTTAAATACGCATTGATATGACATTTTACATATGAGCATAAAATCAGTACCAAATGATCACGTGTAAGTGGTGTAACTTACACAATGTGCATTGACATGAAAATCGTGTTAATTGAACATCACGACATTTTCATTGATCATCAAACCTCATCTATTGAGATGAAATTCATGGTTTCTGTTAAATGAGCATTGATGAACATTTACTGAGCATCAGACCAATTATGTTGAGTAATATGAGTCTGATATTGAGTATCGTGATCTATGCTTCATATCTTCTAATTCTTTTTCTATTTGTTATTTTTTTTAATAAAAACTATTAAATTATATCTATAATCCACTCCTATTAATTTCAATGTGAGTCTAATATAATATGAAACTTTTGAAATATGTATTGAGATAGTATTTTCTAATATTTGCATATTGATATGAAAATGGTAAGGT